AGGAAATCACACAGACAAACTCAGAGTCAGTGTTGGGAGGGTGCTACCAAAGGGTATAGAAATAAGGAAGGAACCATGTATTAAAGGAAGAAACTGTGGACATTTTTACAACAACCACAGTCAGTCAACCTGGATATCTAATGCATACAAGTTTCAATTTCTCTGGCATGGACTCTCCATAGAAAACCTCCCATACAGAGCATTCACCAAAAAACTCTACTAAAGGTCTCTAGTGAATGAAAATTCAGCCCATTGTTGCTCAGCCCTTTCTGAAATGTTTGCTGGGTGGTAATATCATTGCTTGCTAAACTTTTGTCATGAAATACTAATGGTCACTTCCTGACATTCCCTCACTGCATGTCATAAAAGTCTAATAACCCACAAGCCACAAGCAAAGCCTCAGGAACATACAAGATGCCTCTCATCAAGGTAATTTTGTCTCCAAACACAAAGGCTCAGTCCAGGGTTGAATCAAGCCCCAGTGGGCAAAGAGGCCCAGGGTTACTACAAAAGTCATTAGACCAAACTACTAAGGACCAGGCCAACCCCATCTCACAAATTAGTTACAGACATGTATTGTTTAGTTCTATGTGCCTCGTATGGCCACACTGTGTGTGAAGGCTGAGGTCTAGGGGAAGAGGATAGTGAGCAAGTTTTGCCTTGCATACAAGAATAGGACATGGTTCTTGAACTCAGGCATCTCATCAGCGTGGTGCCACTGAGAACTGCAGTGGGCCTTCAAAGATGAGAAAGGTCTTGGTAGTCCAGAGTTGTCAAGGCGGACGTCAGGGGAAATGCAGGATTTAAAACAACTGTTGAAAGAAGAGGAGAGAGGTTGTCAGATGGGGGAAACAAGAGCATATAAAGAGAGATGGGTGTGGTGAAGAACAGTAAGGCTGGCCTTCCTGGAATAAAAAGCTCCGTTGGCAGAGAAGGGCAGGAGATAAGCTGGACAAATATGAACCAGATACAGATGCTTTGACTGCCTATTTGGTAGAGTCTCAGTTTAACAAGGAATCTTCTTAATGATCTTGACAAGAGAGAGAATGAGGAACGTGTTGTATGAGGAAGATTAAATTGGTAACACTGAATTACAGAGCACTAAATTATAGGAGAAAAGAAATGAAAGCAGGGATATTAGTTAAGAGATCATTAGATAATCTAGGAGTAGTCCAGATAAATTAGGACAGAAAATAGAAAGAGGAAGGGGCATATCCCAGAGAAATTATAAAAGAAAGATTTCAATGTCCACTTCATACAAAGCTATATCCCCGAGTTCAATTCCAGGGCAAACTGTCCATTCCCTGTGGGCTGTGGAACAACTTGCCAAGAGGGCTAATTATATTAGTGTGGGAAACAAAAGCAGGTAAATTCAGATTTTCCAAGTAAAGAATCTGCAGAAATTTTTTTTCCTGATTTGACTATTTGGGAGGAAATTCTTAAACTCTTCTTTGCTATATGTATAAATGTTGCCCAAAGATTATCATGGGGTTGAGATAAAATGGAACATTTTTGATACTTAATCTTGTAGCCAACCAAGATATGGTGCTAGGTTATGTGTTCAATCCCAATTACAAATAGGTAACAATAAACAGTATTTACACAGTTAACTTGCTCAATGTTCATGACAACCCCATAAAGTTAGCATTACTATCACTTCCATTTTACAACCAAAGGAACTCTGAGAAGTTAAGCATTTTCCCCAAGATCACTCTTTTAGTAAGAGAGGGCAGAAATTTGAATTCAGGTCTTTTGATTTCAAAGCCAATGATTTTCCCTCATACAAATAAATATTCAGTCCAACACTGCGAAGCAGAGGTTTGTTCTCTAAAGAATCAGAATTAAATGATTAGAATTATAGGTGTTTGTTCTCCTTAAAGGATCAGAATTTTAGGATATAGGCTGATGAGTCCTGACATTTCCTTAATGTAACATGTTAATTCTTTAAGAGAGAACAACTTGTGATTTTCTTCTACTGGTGGGCTAGAGAGATACTAAAAATGATAGCAAAGGCTATTAAAATTTATATGGAGACTAGCACAGATTGGAATAACTACAAAGTGAATTCTTTAAGCTGCAATGGAAAGGCGGTGAAATAGCACAATATGAAAGAAAACTCTCTTTTCACTTCAGATGCCTAAATATGCCATCAAACGACTGCTCAATTCTCAAATGCCAGTATTTTCTGACTCCTCTAGAACCTATTCTTAATGCAAAATATCAAAGTCAGTGGGATAGTAGGTGTCCCAAAATGTCTTAATTCAGAGAATTAGTGTTAACTGAGCCTGATTAGCTCCATTTATCTCTAATTAATTACCTTTATCTAATTAGACACTTTGTTTCCGGTAGACATGGAGTCAAGTAGACTAGATTATTAGTGTAGTCATTGTGCCTTTACAAAATCCTGAAATTAATGAAACGTGCAAAAGAATCTGCAGTTCTAATTGCACAGGTGTTGCCTTATGGCAAAGCTTTATCATCTGATTACACCAAGGGGTTATTAGTGACTTTTTATATAGAGGATGAGCCTATGAAATGTACCTTAGCAACAGCTCATTAGTTTAGGGTTGTTACTGTATTATTTATGATATTCAGCCTTCCCCATTATCTAGATTGATTCATGGACCTATATATTTTTTCCTCTCCTCTGTGCAGAAAAAATAAAATAAAATAAACCGTCATTCTGAAGGGCCCAGATGCAATGTAGAAAAATGCAAAATGTGTTCATCAGCTACAATTTGACTCTTTTAAGACAGAAAGCTCTAAAGTTAGATGAGATCAGAATCAAATTTATGGGGGTTTTTCTACGGAAAAAGAACCAATTTAAATTACTGAGGAGTATGAAGTGATTCATATATGTGATAAAAAAAAAAAAGAAAAAAAAAACATGTGGCTGTCCCTAATGTCTTCACTTAACTGAAAGGCATTATCAATGTATGTGGAAGAAAAAAGCAAAATGTTTTTACACTAAAATACACTTATATTTATTTTCACTTCACATGTTTCCAAAACAGGTTAAGGAGACATCACATATACTCACCCAAAACATTTATAAAAATCCATCTCTCGTTTTCCTTTTTGCTTTTTTTCCTTAAGGATAGATTTGTTACCAGATGGGAAAAATAACAAATTATACAAGCTAGCTTTGCTGAAAAAGCAAGATTTCAATGCCTGCTTACAAAAATGAAAAGTGTTTTTTCATGGCAAGGTTAGGCAACTGCAAAACACTAAAGAAAATATCCCACCTTTGTATTTTCATTTTTCCCCCCTCATAACCATTTGAAGAAGCACTGTTTTTCACAATCATGGGGTAATTAAACAGCTAGAAGTAAATCCAGTCACAACCCTGTTCCAACATACAAACATGTTTATTGATAAAGCAGTAATTCTTTTAAATAATTTGTCAACATAAATATGTCAAATGGGTTTTAAAAATCATTTTTCCCTCTGTTCCTCAACAAAAATTCCTCTACTGATATAAGCCATATATTGCCGTTCACTTACTGCTGAATCTAAACTAGTGAAATGATAACGGGTAACTGTTTTATAGAGCATGACAACTAATTTGAGTGGTAATAATGAATATTTAATGATCCTCCTTTCAAGCATGAACATATAACTTTTCATGTATTCCCTACCAAAATTATAACCATTAATCTAAAAATTATAGTTGCAACTGAAATAATAGCCAGGAATTATAGATTATAGTCAAGTAGGATATTACATAAATATTCTGTACAAACACAAACATAGGGGAACATAGGAAGCTCCAGACTTCTCTTTTCATGCAATCTAAATCATTTCTTTGAAATGTATGAAAGTTGCATGATTAGTGGAGAAGATATTTGAATCCAGATATAAAAAGGCTATTATTTCTATCAATAAATAAGTACAATAGCCAAGGTCATTTTCACTTTTCACTAGCTCACAATTTCTAAACAAAAATATCATGTATATTAAGATGTTCCCTCTCTAGTAGTAATAATTTTAGAATGTCCTATTTAAATAAAAAATAGCAAATGTAAAATTTATCAGAAAGGCAGAATTTTTATACCTTAAATTTCATTTTTTTATGTAGTTAATTTCCCCAGTTATGTTCTTCTACCAGAAACTACAAACGGGACTTCAGAAAAAGAGATCTGAAAAATGCATACAATGCTTTAAAATGGGTTTTGTTCACTGATGAAAAATAATTTTGGTTAAATTTCCAAGTTATATCTTTACTAGTTTTCAGTGAAATCTGCAGAAACACATCTGCCTCCTTTCCTGGTTGGGTTTGCTTTCCTTATTACAAGAAAACCAGTGCTCTTATGGTCACAAATGTGAAATTCTTCAGCAAATCCCAGGATTCTGTTATTTTTAAATTGTTTTTAAAGGCACACTCTGCCTTAAAAAAAAAAAAAAACTAATAATGTGGGAAAGAGTAGTCAGTAAAATCTGTACCTTTTCCCAGTTAGGAGACTCTTCATCAGAAACTAACTGCCCAGTTACCTGTACCAGCACCAGCTCATCAACACAGTTTAGCCTCTTTAGGAATCCAGCTTACAGGCCAAGATATCATGTGTTAGGTCACTTTCTCCAAATGCATATTCACCGAACACATTTCTAACTGAACAGATGTTCTTGACTAAAACCCAGGCAAGATCATATGAGACATGGAATTCCAAATGTCCCTTGTAAATTGTAAAGTGCTTCAGAAATATAAAATGGTAGCATTTTTAGAAAACACTACATAAGGATACTAAACTGATGATGCTTGATTTGTACACCTTAACAGCTTTGCCATTGCCCTTATCACAGACATGGCAGTTAGCCAATAAAATCTTTGTCTTTCCTGGGTTCTTTCCTGATCTTCCATTCTAGATTTCTTCTGACAGAGAAGAATTCCTATTAAAGAATGCACACCAACTCATTATATCTTAGCATGTTTATTTTGCTATGTGCATATACGTAGGCACTACATAGAGTACGTTAAAAATAGGCCAACAAATATCAGGAAG